TGTTAGACCAATGACATTCAAGTTTGTTTGTCCATATCGATTAATTTATATAATAAAAATAATAAAATGAACAGTGCAATTCATAATACAATGACATGAATATTCTATAATATTCTATAATGATAAATTCTAAAATTAAATTCATTTTAATATTTTTTAATTAAAAATAAAAAAGAAATGTCAGGGTGGTACAGCTGTACTGATATCATAATGAAGAAAAATAATGAAATTAATAGTAGTAGCAGAAGTAGTGATTTAGTATAAAAAAAAATTAAAAATTAATATATAAAAACTTGGTGCAACCAACATACAAGCAAGCACCCACATGAAAAAATAAATTACAGAATAAATGAATAATATTGTCGTTATAATCGCTCTTATTTTGAGTCTGCAAGGGTCAGATTTTTACTTTTAATTATTTTTACTTATTGACCTTATTGATCTTGATTGTTTGTCAAGGTCAATAAGTCTCTTAAAATATCAGATAATTTGCCTTTTTTGCCTTTGCAAAAGGTCAGGCAAGGTTAGTTCAAGTTGTAAAATGTCATACAAAATGTCATAAATATATTTTTAACCTTGCTAAATTGATTTAAAAAACCTTTTTAAAGGAAATGGTGAAGGAATGGTGAATGTTTACACACGTGTATTCAAAGGTAAATGGAAAATATGGTGTTAGATTCTCCTTGATGGTTACACCACATGACACTTTTGGAGTCATTAAACTGAAACGTTTGTTGAAAATGTTATAAAAGTTTTTCCAAATGAAACCAACATGTATACATTTCTAAAAACTTGGCGCATGTTTTAAACTTTTCTTTATCTTGGACACTTTTATTTGTCATTGATCCAGAGAGTAAGAGAAAGTTCAGAACACTGACTTGACTGATGCTGCACTGGGCCAGCGAGCTCCCAGCTTGGCGAAGTGTTTCCGTGGAGAATTTATCCACAAGCCCACTGGGAAATGGAGCTTCCTAAATCGGGGACTGCCAGACTCCTCCATCTGAGGGAGTAAGAGAGAGGGAGGTGAGGTGAGGACTGGACGGGAGTGTGGAGAATGGAAAGATAAAATGACAAAAATAAACTGAGAAAGGAAGGACCAGGGGGAAGTAGGAAAAAGCAAGAAAGGGAAATGTCTTAACTTTCAGAGAAAGATAGATGCAGAGAAACACCAGAAGACCACTGACACAATATATCAATATTAGGCATCAAGCAAGACTTTAACATTTAAAAACATTTCATTTTCTAGATACGTGTTGTTATTGAGATTTATTCCTCTCCAAAATCAGATTTCGGCAGTGAATGACGTTCAGTAGACAAATGGCAGGAAAAGCTAGCGTCTCGTTGAATAATCAGGACGTGCAGTGTCATACGTTCTTCGTCATCTAAGAGCCTATGAGTAACGGAGCATTAACGCAGTTAGCAGGGATTGCCACAAAGTTGACAGGGCAGGCGGTGAATAGTTATGGCTCTGAGAAAATGATTTATTTCACATTCATGTCTACATGTCTAATGAAAACCAGAGGTTTGGCACTGTTGCTCCTGAGCTAAGCAAACTCGCGGAAGTCAAGTAAGAGTCAAGTGGCTTCGCCAAGAGGCCATGACGAGGATATCAACTAACATGAAACTATCACTGCTGAGGATAAGCCATGCAGCCAAACCACATTCTATGAATATCATCCTTGTTGTACTTTGATTAAAAGCGCTGAACATCGCCTATATAATAACATACGTTTTTTTTGTCCTCCACCCTGACTGTGGACTTCACCTCCATGTATCCTCACAGACAGATGGGAAAACCCCTGAAAAGACCCCCTAAGTGTCATATGTTCCTCAAAAGTGAAGTTGACCTTTATTATATTGTCTCTTTGACCATAATTGATTTCATCACATTCTGCAGAGTAAATGGTGGATGTAGAAAAACCAAGAAACAAAATTTACTTCTGGTTGGGAAAGGTATTCAGTATATGCTGACTACAGCTCCAAATCAGTCATTTTGCATCAGTAAAATGGCTTTTCTCACCATCAGATGATCTTAATGTGACTTACCCACTGTGACGGGCTTCCTCTTTATATCGGGATAAATCTTCGGAATGGCTGTTGTTGCTGTTTGTGAAGTGTATTATAAAAATATAAAAATAAAAACCAGTGGAGGTTGGTTCTGTGTCTCCTTATTCCAGAATAATTAGGTTTAAATAGTCCATTTTCTGCATGAGGCCTTGCTTTGCTTTACCGGATTTTGTCCTTTCAACCAGTTTTTTTAGCATGTCTTTTTCATTTTCGATGTACAAGAAGGGTCCTCAAGTCCTTATTCTTGCTTTCTATTTCTCTCTCGTTTCTTTCTCCCCTTTTCTGCGTCTATAGATAGAGAAGCAGGCCCATTGTTCTAAATGACAGAATTTCCTTCCTCCCCAATGGACAACACCTATATCCTGAAAAAGAGACAGAGAGAGAGAATATGAAGTATACGCATAAAGCCAAGTCAATGACACTGCTGTACATACGTACAAAGAGCAAGACGAAAAATGTTATAAGCACTAGTCAGGATGTCCATTATGTTCATTCAAAATCAAAACAGAGCCGGAAACTGTCTGACAGTTGGAGAACTCAATAGACTCAAGTCAGGACAGACGCCATATTGAATTTGACAGGATTAAATATAGTGCTACCCTGACTAATGTCTATAGAAACAAGCCTCAGGAAATATATATGAATGAATGGAAACAGTATATATGTTTATTACCCAAGGGACAAGCGCAAGACTAATTAACACTTGCCTCAGCATGTTTTATCCAACACTTGTTTTCTTTGTGTGTGTTGTAGGGCTTTTGAAAAAAAGGAAACAGGAAACCTGGGACAGGATGTCAAAGACAGAGAGGCACCTGTAACCTTTGACCTTGTCAACAACAGAATGGTGTGTCAGGAAAGAAGAACCCTGTGTATATCCGTACATGTGAATGTGTCTATATCTATATCCTATTTGTATATGTACAAGACTAAGAAAGACAAATACTAAAGACTACTAAGATACATGTTTTCTTGTTTAAAACATAAATCTGACTAAATTTAATTAGATTTATGCATTAAACAAGAAACTAGAACTGCTTAATATAACTATAACAAAATAAATATATTTTACTTTTGCTTCTCATTTAGCTATAACTGATATTTTCACTGGAAAACGGCACAAAAATACTAATTAAATGTATGGTATTTTGCATTGTAAAGCCAACATGCAGTCCTACATATATATACACACACACACACTCACATGCACCATGTCAGACCAAAAAGCAAAGCCAAAAGCTCTGTGAGCAGTTGGTCTCTCAGACAGGAAGCATTGACAGCAGGCTGTGAAGGCTCCTGTGCGTCATTCAGACTTGTCCCTCCATGTTTGTTTTTAGCCTGTAAGTGAAAGCTCTCCCTGGCTTCTGGTCAGAGGGAACATGTTTGGAATGAAGTGTGCATACAGTAGTGCACTCTTTCTTTGGTAAAAAGTTCTTACTGTACATCTCTCACACCTCAACTCTAGAGGAATGAAGGTGGTTTGGTAGCCAGCAGTGCCCTACAAAGGCAGAGGAAAGTAACTACACTCTGTTGAATTAGGCCTATTGCATTCTACAGATTCCAAAAGTGCTCTATATTGATTAAAATAAATATTTATTTATTTGCTTGCTTGCTGTGGCTAAAACTGCAATAAAAATATCAGAATATGTAAAAAAAAAAAAAAAAAAAAAAAAAAAAAGAAAAAAAAAAAATTATTCTCTTTATTTACAACAAAAAAAAAAAAAAAAAAAAAAAAAAAAGAAAGAAAGGAAAAGAAAAAATTATGCTGCTTCATTGCACACATGAAACATGAATAAATTAAATAAAGCACACAATAAATAAAAATTATACAGAAATAAATTAATACCCTGCTTCAGACAGTGGATTCATTAATAAAAGAAACATACCTACTCGATGACAATATATCTTATTATGCTATATTGTGCTTCCCAGTGCTTTTTATCGGTAAACGTCAATATTGTTATTATTTTTTATTATTTTATTTTTATTTTTACTATTTTTATTTGTTCATGAATTTTTCCTGAAGGATTTTTATTGTATTTTATTTTATATTGTATATTGCGATTATTGATTTATTAATATTACTGACACGTTTTTTATTTATTTTATATTATTGTTTTATATTACTATTGTATTATTATTTTATTTCCTTCATATTACATCTAAAGATTAGAAGAAACACTGGAGGAACATGAATGCTACTTATGAAGTGTGTCAATAATAAATATACTCGTAGTATTATTTTAGTCTTGAATAATTTGTAACTGTACTTGGTATGGACATGTCATGTGATTTTCTTATTGCTTTTCCGACTTTATGTTTTTGTCCTTGTACGTTCGTTGTTCCAAAGTTTGGAATAAAAAAGTATTATTTTAATCTCGTAAGCCCCGCCTTCACTCATCCTCATGCTCATAGACATAATAAATACCTAGACGCCTCATTGGCCGCTCGACCGCACGTCAACGTCGCCGCCATATTGGTGCGGGCAACTCTCCATAACTCATATCGGGACAGGCGAAAACATACCTGACTCGTCGGCAGCTTGGGCATCTAAACCGTCGCACAATAATACAAACATACCTCAGGGTATTATCTTTCACAGGTAAGACTGAACAGTTGTTTCTGTATGCTTTTTGGTCATTTTTAGCTTTATGTTGACAGCTTAATTAGCCACCAATGTCAGACTATTAATAGCTAGCGATATCCTAGTAAGCTGTGAAAGCTGAGACTTTATAAAAAAATCAAAGTTTAAATGAATTCTTAAGTTTTAACTTTATATTGTAGTTTATATCATAAAGTAAATTGTGTTATGAGCACAATATGTACAGTGAGAACACTTTGACAAGACAATGCCAGACTGTCAGGATTAGGGATGGAGCTAAATCATCTCTCTTTAATTTCACTAACGTTACTTATTTACAAAGAGATGCCCCCCTACACACTTTGACTTCCCATAATTCAGTGCGCTCATAAAGTCTTTCGAGAGGACGTTACGATAAGGGCACAGCAAAAGGTAGGCCTCAGTGTTTATTTGTTGAATCTAGCTTGTTGAGAAATTGCTGAATCTCGTGCGATGTTTCTTGAAACCCTTTAGCTTTGGTCTTTTGCTAAATTCACGGAATAGCAACGGACGTTCCAGAGGAATGGTTCATTTGAGTTAGTTAGCCAGCTAGCAAACTGACTAACTTACTTAAACCGGTTATATCAAGGTTACGTTACTAAAGTGAATATGTCTGCTGGTTTGGACGTATAATAAGCATATTTTACGTGTTTACAAGTTCACTTCAATTTACCTCGTTTAAAATATATCAAGTAAGTTTAACATCACTACAGTCGTCCTGTGACTGGCGTTAGTTTAATCTGGTACTGAGTGAAATGTCACTCGCAGTCTTCTGCTTTATTGCACTGTTAAACTACGACATTTGAGCAGCTAAAGTCCGTTTGTGTGCTTTAAGTATTTAGTCAATGTTGTGAATGTTTACTGCATTTCACACAGACCCATTATCTTTGACTGAAGATGGCTGATGTTATTGACGACAAGATCAAGAACTACAGAACGGCTCCATTCGATTCCCGTTTTCCAAACACTAACCAGACAAGAAACTGTTTCCAGAATTACCTTGGTATGTACAGTAAAAATGATTATATGACCCTTATTTGTACCCAAAATTATTAGATTAATAAAAACATTGTGCCACAATTGCTTTGTATTATTTATGAAAGGGACAAGTGTGCTTTACATACAGGCTTGTACACCGTTATAATGAATATGAGACTTCACAAAGTGCATTTCAACCATGATTATTAATATTATGCTGATCTCACAGATAGATTTTTGGAGCAACCAAGACTCGTTTTGTTGAAGGTCACATCAGTGGAGAAGCAGGGTTGTCTGTAGTAAATCTCCAGTTCCTGTGTCTCTGCTTGTAGTCTAGTGCAGTGGTTCTCAAACTGGGGGACGCGTACCCTTGGGGGTACGCAAACAAAATTCTGAGCTTTGGCATTCATTTAATACCCCAACTTAAAGCAACAAAAACCGAACGTATTTCTGATAAGCAAAATGCCTCTTCTAATGTAAAACCAGGAAAATGGGGGTCCCGTAAACGGTCAGATACATGATATCCAATCAGCTTACCTCAATTTTTGCTGTCAAAACTGACTGCATCCACACAAGCAGCTGCATGTGATAGGACGGCCGCTGAATATGCTGCTTTAGCAAATCGCGCTGCTGTTCAGTGTATCTTTAAAGTAGATCATCACTTAATAGCATGAAGAGAAAATATTGACACACTCTGTGCGTGTTATTGTTTTCATGTTTAAGATGCGAGCAAGAATGCAAATTTCCCTGAATATCCAAACGATGGCAAATGTGCCATTAATTTTTACAACAGTTCAACAAAAGAGGTAATATTAAGTGAACATTTTACGTTTTAAATGTAGCTTACATTTTGAACAGAATATTGTCATGTTTGTTCTATTTTGCAACGAAATAATAGTTCCAATGAAATCCGTATCATCTGGTGTGCATCTCCAAGCATCATACAGCAGTGTTTCGTTAGTGAACGAATCTGTGGCTTTGAATGATTTGGAGAGTCAGTGATTAATAACCCATTCATAACTACAGCATTTTGCTTCGTTACTGAATGAATGAATGAATGAAACGACGCCTGGCTCATTAAGACAGTGACTTGCCGCCACCTATTGGCTGTTTTATTTTTAAATCTACAAGTCTACAAGTGATTTGCCATTATTTATTATATTATTAATACACTTAATCAAATGTTAAGAACATGACATACAATTAATAAGGATAGAAAATATTTGCCTTTATAAAGGTAAAAAATGCACCTGTTAATCAAATTAAGGGTGCAAATATTGTCTTTTAATAGAAAAGGTGTGACTGCGGTCTAAGTGGAAGAGAGGGGGTACGCAGAAGAGTGTTAAATGCCCCAGGGGGTACACCACTGTAAAAAGTTTGAGAACCACTGGACTAGAACACGTGAATATGTTGTCATTCTTGCACTATAATACTGAACTTTGATTTCAGTGATTTGGACGATGAGATTGACACTTGCGACACTTTGTGTTGCACTTTACTTTTGGATTTCATTTGGTTTAATGAAATCTAGTTTAATAAAATATTCTTAAGTAAAACTGTTGATTTTTTTTGTGGGAAATTAATCATTTAGATTAATCAATTAATCTATAAATGAATCGAAATAAAAATTGTCGTAGGCAACCCTACAGTAATCACATTATGTTTCCCAGTAATAATTTAGAGAATCACTGTTTATACATAACAGCTAATGTTTTTTTCTTACATATAAATGTTTTAATTAATATGACATGTGCTAAGTGAGCAATCAGCACTGAAAATAATTCAACAGAAATACACACTTCTCTCTCTCTCCTTCTCTTTACCATCAAGTAATGTTAGTAATATGTGCATTCTTTTGCTTTCTTTGTTATTGACATATCTGACCAAACAACAAACTTTTCAGCAATGTCTGTGAGAAAAGGACGCGTCTGTCTCGGCTTGCTCATCTACTCAGTGTTGCTCGACTTATCAGCTCGCACACTGCAGCTATACATGATGCATGAATATTAGGGTTGCTCCGATTGATCGGCTACAGATCACTATCGGCCGATAATCGCTTTGGGATGTTGGATCGGCGGTCTCTAAAAAGGCAGATCTAAGAATGCAAATTTCCCTGAATATCCAAACGATGGCAAATGTGCCATTAATTTTTACAACAGTTCAACAAAAGAGGTAATATTAAGTGAACATTTTACGTTTTAAATGTAGCTTACATTTTGAACAGAATATTGTCATGTTTGTTCTATTTTGCAACGAAATAATAGTTCCAATGAAATCCGTATCATCTGGTGTGCATCTCCAAGCATCATACAGCAGTGTTTCGTTAGTGAACGAATCTGTGGCTTTGAATGATTTGGAGAGTCAGTGATTAATAACCCATTCATAACTACAGCATTTTGCTTCGTTACTGAATGAATGAATGAATGACACGACGCCTGGCTCATTAAGACAGTGACTTGCCGCCACCTATTGGCTGTTTTATTTTTAAATCTACAAGTATCACTTCGATTTGCCATTATTTATTATATTATTAATACACTTAATCAAATGTTAAGAACATGACATACAATTAATAAGGATAGAAAATATTTGCCTTTATAAAGGTAAAAAATGCACCTGTTAATCAAATTAAGGGTGCAAATATTGTCTTTTAATAGAAAAGGTGTGACTGCGGTCTAAGTGGAAGAGAGGGGGTACGCAGAAGAATGTTAAATGCCCTATTTATTATATTATTAATACACTTAATCAAATGTTAAGAACATGACATACAATTAATAAGGATAGAAAATATTTGCCTTTATAAAGGTAAAAAATGCACCTGTTAATCAAATTAAGGGTGCAAATATTGTCTTTTAATAGAAAAGGTGTGACTGCGGTCTAAGTGGAAGAGAGGGGGTACGCAGAAGAATGTTAAATGCCCCAGGGGGTACGCCGCTGTAAAAAGTTTGAGACCCGCTGGTGTAGTGCAACAAACCCCTGAAGTTCTGAGCTAGAATTGATCTGTATGACTTGATTAAATTGCGTTATGAATTGAATAACTCATTATAGATGTCAGGGTTGGAGACTGTATACTATTTCTGCCTGATTTCAGTGTGCATTACTTACTGCTGGGGTTTTCCTCTCAGACTTCCACAGGTGTAATAAGGCTTTGTCAAGCAAAGGGCAGGACACTTCTCCCTGCGAATGGTATCAGAGAGTCTACAAGAGCCTGTGTCCAATGAGCTGGGTGAGTCTGTTCTATTACCAAAAGTAATAGAACCTTTGAGTAAACATGAGAATCAAGATTGACCCTAGTTACCTTCTAGACATTCCTGGTGTTATTTTGTAAGCACATGCTTCATTAAAATAACTTGCACTTTTTCATCGCATCGTGAATGTCATAAAGACAGCATGGCCAGCTGCCGTATTTGATCCTTTCTGGTTTTAAACCTAGATTTTTCTAAATCCAATCTATTCTGGTTTGATAAAGCGGAGTTATATATACAGCAAGAAAAAACTAATTTTCTTCATCTTTGAAGCCATCAATATCCTTGAGTGCAAAATGCTGCCTAAATAAACTCTTAGCAGATATATATTTGAAATTCTTGCGCACTCTTTTGTGGGAGTGGGTGAGTGAGTGTATTAAAAAACCATTATCTCCATTCCTCTTTCTTGCTTTGACTATTGGTCTTTCTTGCAGACTATTGGTCAGACTATTGGCCCCCCCCCATGACATTGTGAACAGCACAAGCCGCATGGAATCTGATCTTTTAATTTATGATTTTGGCCACTTTATTATGTGGTCCTAAATCAGATACAGGACTGATGTTTTACAGTGCAACATCACTCTACATCGACATTTGTCACAATTCTGTGCTGCTGGGAGTGACTCCAAATATTTTACTGACCTGTAGTTCTTTGGTCACTCAGTCAATATAAAAAGCAAAGCTTGAAGGAAAACTACACACACACAACTTTGTTTTGTTTCTCCTCATTCTCGCTGGTTTCTGTGGCACATAGATTTTAGAAATACATAAAATGCTGATTTCAGTGGCCTGCATGTTTGTATGACAGGGTGCTATGTGCAATCTGTGGTGTTTGTTCTTTTGCACTAGGGCTGTGCTATTAATCGAAATCATCATAAAATCGCGATTTGTGCTTGAGCGATTTCTAAATCGCTTTACAGCATGTTTTTCCACGCCCCCGACCTCCCGCAGTATGCTATCCGAACCAATCAGAATGCAGCGCGCCTAAATGGAGCACGAGAACAGAACAGACCGGGCAGGCATACAAACGTAATGCTAGGTTCACACACTCTGTCTGTGGTGCGTATTTTTTCCGCGCCCATGTTAACGGATCAGAGCGTTCACACTGCACGTGATTGCGGTCCGGCAGTGCGCTCCAGGAGCGGTGCGTCTGCAGCAGTCATGCTGCGATCGTTTCCCCACGGAGTCTATTTCTGCTGTGCTGCACACGCTGAATTAAAGTGACAGCGCATTAGTATTAGTCACGGTAAAAATTTACATGGATTGACAAGGAAATTTGGTAATTACACCATAAATGCATATAATTAAAGTCTACTGTTTTACAGTCAACACATGGCCTTTTGGCTAGATTTAAAACAAGGAAAAGTGCACTTTTAGATAAACAAGGTAATAGATGCCACTTGTGGTGGTAATATTTGAGTTTAAACGTGAATGTCTATGAAAGATTGTATTAAAGTACTGTGATAAGAGAATCACAATGCTGAAAAAGCATTTTCAGAAACAACGTTTGGATTTGAAATCAAAATAATGGATAAATGTTTTGTTTGTGGTAAACAGCCACGGATCAGGAGGGGACTGCAAATGCGAAAGCAAAATGAGTCCGTGCTGCTTCTGCACTGCATACACATACTGTATACGCACTACAGACGGAGTACATGTGAACTTGGCGCAACAAATCTAGTTCAACATCTGAGGCAATGCCACAAAGAGCTCTATGACCAATGCATGGCACAAAAAAATCCCTGGACACAGGATTTTTTTTTCCTGCCATATATGTCTATTCTAGAGACATTTTGTTACACCTCTACTTGGTGATTATTTTGCCTTATGTCTGTTCTAGAGACATGTTACAGCTTTTTGATAAAGCTCTAATTGGTTTTCTTTTGGAAATATGTTTCAAATTCACACTGAATGCATTTATGACTGTAAAGCATGTCTGTGTAAAATTGAAATCGCAAAATTGATCAAAGAAATCGCGATAGGTTTTTTTTTCTTTTGTCCATATCGCACAGCCCTATTTTGCACATGCGGGTCATTTCAGGAGTGTGACCAGTTTACACTCAAATTTGATATTGGCCATGTTAGGAAAAAAAGGAAATCAGAATTGGGGTTTTCTCTGAGAACGTAGCCTTAGATGCTTTCTAGAATAAATATCTCTGAGACATAAAAAATCATTAGCGAACGTTTGCCTGTCTATAATTGGAGTCTTTATTCTTTATCTGAACTGTCATCCTCAGATCTTCGCTCTAGATTTGGCTTTATTCTGAAAATAAGTTCAAGTTAATTTTCTTTGTCACCTTCAGATTCTAACAGTTTTGCAAACAAAGATGAAGGTAGTGCCAAGAAGTCTTCCACAACAGGATGTAATATTTTTGCTTTCATCTTGCAAACTGTCAAGTGACTATGATGTATTTAAAGGTTGATGGGATTGATGTAAGAATGTCCAGACTCGTGTACGTTGTTGGCCATGATTGCTAATACTGTTACTGGAACCCTGTCCTTGGTTTGTTCATCCCAGATATCGTCCTTCTGAATTTGAGTACCACTTTGAACTTTTCAGTATTTGCAATCAAACCAAAATAAACTGGTTAAAAACCACACAGACTCTTCTTTATATCAGGTATCGGACAGTTTTGCCAGCGGGGTTCTCTGTTACTGACCATCATGGTGTCATGATCCCTATTCAAAACTTATAGCTAAGCAACTGTTAAAAAAAGGAGCTAAAATTAATTTTCTTCTATCAAAGTATAATTGCTATTTCCCTTCTGCAAGAGACAAGCAATCATTGTGAAAATGGATGAAATGTGAAGGTCTGCTGGAAGTTGTTTGATTATACAATGTGTCTTTGTTTTTCCTTCCTTCAGGTGGAGAAATGGAATGGGCAGTTTGAGGATGGAAGCTTCCCCGGAAAGATCTAAATGGTTGCTGTTAATTTCAATTCAAGAGCTCCCAACCTTTTGTAGAGTACCTCATAATGTTATCCCAATATGATGTTGTCTTAGTTATTGGTTTGCCTGCTGGAGGATGAAGGGTCATTCAGAGTGGGCTTTGGAAACCTTCAGTATTTTGAAGTCCTACATTAGCATTTATCTTTGTCACTCTACATCCTACTGTTGCAATTTACAAAATAAAAATGCACAATTTCATCTAAATTGTTTTGTATTTGTTTTACTAAAGGTGAAGAGTTTTTGGTTTTTTTGGTCGTCTTAGTGGAAACAAATTACGGTTTATACAGTCTTTCTAAATCCTTCATTAACCACCAAGTTCAACCGGCTGAAAATTGAGTCGCTTAGTGGCTTTTTGAGGTGTGGAGTTGAATAATATCTGCTATATCTGAGAGGTTTAAAAAAAAAATGTGTCAGTTATTTGTATGCGATGGTCAAAAACCAGGGTAAACGCTGCTGCTTGCCCTATTTAATTAACACTAGTCTGAAGATACTGGATTTAGCCATATAGTGCTCAAGCAATGATGCAGAGGCTGATTTACTTTGAACAGACAGCATGAATTTGCATGAAATCCGTGATTAAGGAATTAGACTGTTCTGCAAGTCGTTACCCAGCATTCTTTAAACGGCTCTGTTTAATCCTATTTGACCATTGTGCTTTTCAAACAGCAGATTGCGGTAAAGTAGAACAAGTTAGTCCCTCAATGTGACGGCAACAGTTACTAATACAGTTACGATGTAGCAATTGCAGTGACTGTACTGATTGCAGTACCTAGAAATTCCTCTCCTATATATTTCTAATATTTGACGCAAAACATGAGGACAAAAGGTCAGAGGTTAGTTGGTCAGATTAGGTTATCCAGCAGATGCTCTGCAGTGCCAAATGTCTTACTCAAGGACACGCAGGAACTGCAGCAATCAAGATGTAAACTTATTAACTAGATTGTATAATTTACTCACCCTCGTGTTGTTCCATACCTGTTTGAATTTCTTATGTTGAACACAAAAAGATATTTTGAAGAATGCTGGTAACCGAACAGTTGCAGGTAGACTTTGACTTTCAAGTTCAATGTCAAGTATGGACAAAAAAATCTTTAAAAATCAATGGCTACAAATATCATCTTTTGTGTTCAACAGAAGAAAGAAATTGGGATGTTTTGAACGACTTGAAGGTGAGTAAATGATGACAGGATTTTCTTTTTTGGGTGAATTATGCCTTTAGGTATTAATGTTCACAATGCAGTGATCTTTATGATGGTTGTCTTGGTCACCCGATAACATGTGACCAGGCTTAACATTTATCACTGAAGTGCCAAACAAAAACATGGGGAAAAGTGCATTTCCACAGAAATGATTCATTAGTAATTAAGTGCATGGTTGAGCGCTGAATGGAATGTAAGCTGAATTTTTGCAGATTTTTTTTTTTCTTTTCAGAAGTGAGTTCACAAATTCACAGAATTATATTCTTGTAGGAAGTGATGAGGTGTTAAACTTGTATAACAATTCTGAAAGGAACTTGACGTGAGAGCATACAGTAAGTCTAGTCATACTGGGAGATAATCTCATATGCGAGCATGTGTGTATGATGGATAACTTTTCTGCCCTTTTTTGTTTGTGTGATACTGTAGGTTTTCATTTAAACAAGATGCTTCAAATGTTCCAAACTGCTTCACTTTAGTTGTATGCTTAATTATATACTTCATATGGTGTTATAATGCTCTGTTAATAACTTCAATGCATGTTTAAAGGGGTCATATGATGCGATTAAAATTTTTCCTTTCTCTTTGGAGTGTTACAAGCTCTTGGTGCATAAAGAAGATCTGTAAAGTTGCAAAGACTAAAGTCTCAAATCCAAAGAGATATTCTTAATAAAAGTTAAGAGTCAACCACGCCTACCTAAAACGGCTCGTTCTAACACGCCCCCACATGTCTACATCACTATGTGGGAAGATTTGCATAACACCAGCCAAATGTTCACGCAAAGAAAGAAGGTGTAACTTTGATTCTCCCTGTAGTATTTGTTGCCGTGTGTTTCGTTGTGAAAGCAAACTACTTTGTTTGGTCTTCCAAAAGAGGACGATATCCGCTTCGTCATGCCTGGAGCTGATCCGTGCTGGTAGCTGAGGAAATACATCAACTTCGCGCTGTGGATCGCCAGATCGGCTTTCACCGTGGACGAAGCGGAGTCCAGCCCGAGGTCGTCACATGTGGTTGCCGCAAGCCCTCCGGATCTGCCAGCCGTTCCTCACTCTAGGCCGCCGTGTGTGATGCTGTGTTTCCTTGTGAAAGTGAAACTACTTTGTTTGGCCTTCCAAAAGGGGACACGACTCGAAATCAGTGGTTAAGTTGTATTTACAACACTGTTCCAGAACAGTTCAACCCAAATATTCAGATGTGTGCAGCACATTTTATGGAGGACTGTTTCCTGATCCTGGGAGAGTAGACTACAATGTGGGCTGTTCTGACTTAAAGGAATTTTCCACTGATGATTCAAATGCGAGTTTTGAGCAGTGTAGAGTAGGGCTTGTTTGTCATTTCTCCGATCACAAATGCAGACATGGTTTTATGTTTACGCGGCGCGATGCAATGCAACCCGTAAAAAGACAGTATAAGTCATTATAATCCGTAATTATGTCCCCACTGGATGCAACAAATGCCTTGTTTATAATGGGTTTTAATGTTTTTGTCTCGTCGCCGGGACACATCACAGTATGGTAAGGGGTGTAACGTTTCCGTCACACGCTTGAGGTATTCAGCCAATCACAACGCACTGGATAGCTGGCCAATCAGAGCACACCTCGCTTTTCAGCCCGATGAGCTTTCAGACGCGTTTCAGAAAGGCGGGGCATAGAGGAGAAACAATAATGTACAGTAGGCCTATGTGGAAAATAATTTGTTTTTTAACCTTAAACCGCATAAACACATTTCATTACACCAAATACACCAAATAATGTTATTTTAAGCAACATCATATGTCCCCTTTAAAATATGCTATCCACATTTTCATTTGTAGCCTACAAGTCTGTCCATGTCAAACTTTTCTTTCATGTCAGTGACAGATTTACTACATAACTGAAGCACAGTGTTGCCAATTTAGCTACTTTGTAGCTAGATTCAGCGACTTCCCCGCCCCTTTTGAGACTTCTTTCAAACGTTTAGGGACAAATATAGCAACTGCTTGGACAAACCTTATCTAAGTTCTCATCTTGCCCACTGATCTACGTTCATCTTTATATAGATCAGTGAATTTGCCATTGTGATGTCATCTAGTGACATTTAGCTACCAGTTTTAGCAACAATCGATTGAAAGCAGTTAACACTGCTGAAGCATATAGGAGCTTGAGAGGCTGAGATGCTGTGGGATAATGGGAAATGGATACCCTTCACATGTGTCTATTTTAAGTAATTAAAAGCAGACTCCCAGAGAATTTGTTTTAAAAGGTTCAGAGTTTAGTTTATACTAAAAGAAAAAAGACCGCAGTGGCAGGATGCTATCAATAGCTGATCTCATCTCAAAATGTGTTTCCTTTGCAAGTTCCTGTTTGTCTGTCCTAAAAACACAGACAACTATAGTGTTCCGTGTTTTTGTGTATTGTTATATACATTATTACTTTGTTTTTAGTGTAATAATACACTTTTTAGGTCATTATATACACTGGCAGAAACCAAACGCAAATCGATTATTAGCCTACTTTGTAACTTTATGTTATGATTAATAAGTGCATCCAACGTGATAGAAATTAATTTGTATGCCCTTTTAGCCCAGTTCAATGAACAAACGAAAGCTAAGGAGCGTAGGCAACGAAACGTTTGTTATCACTAGATCACACACTTGTATGAAGTGCCAGCAAACCCCGCAAATTGTCCGGTCTCGGAAGAGAGGACTACTTGTTTACAAACAACAAAAAGATGGCATTCTCTCACAGAAGCACTCACGTGACAACAATAACGGGCTTATTGTGTCACACAGCAACTTTTGGCAAGTTTAAATATTGGTGGGATGCTGCGCCAGAGGAAAAGAGGCGCGATTCACCGGAGCCGTGTGAGACACTTTTTTATGGATGGGCACTTTTTATTTAACTTCTTTTGGAATGAAGCAATGCAACATCCGCTGACTGCAATGATAGAGCTTGAAAGATCAAAGACAATTTTTTATATAACTCAGACTGGATTCGTCTACAAGAAGAAAGTCATATACACCTAGGATGCCTCGGGGGTGAGTAAAATGCAGCCTAATTTTCATTTTTGGGTGAACTAACCCTTTAATTTATCTAAGGCCTAGTGCTGGCTAAGCTAAGCCTGTCTGTGAAACCAGGCCCTTAATATGTTTGTAATATGTGTAATATATAATATTACTGTAGAATAATATTCTCTCTAACAAGGTGTAATATATTTTAATTTTAGATAAAACAAGACAAGCTAATCAATGATTTTTGCTTTAACCCTGAATTCTTCAAATTCTGTCAGTTTCTAAGGCTTCCTTGCAGGTTTTCCCCTCTTTGACTTAGAATGTTGACATGAACAGTTCTAAATGTTGAACAGCTGTGTGTTTTCTGTCAATCTTTCAGGTAATTTATTACTCTACCAAGATCTTCAGATATGCAGGTATCACTGAGGCAGTCTATGCCACCATTGGAGTGGGTCCAGTCAACACTCTCTTCACTGTCATCTCTGTAAGTTTACACAGCTGAGCTAAAATACAAAAATCACCCTTCTTATTTGCAACTTTTATGCCCTTATGTCTTTTAAATACTTTTATGATGGCGTACTAAAAGGACTGTGTTTTGATTCTTCCACTGCTTTGCTCAACAGCTCTTCCTGGTGGAGAGGGCAGGAAGAAGAACACTTCATATGGTCGGACTAGCTGGAATGACTGTTTGTGCTCTGCTCATGACCATTTCTCTTGAACTTCTTGTGAGTTTGGGACTTATTGCATATCATTAAATAGCACTAAATGATAAACCACTAAAATCTTCAGAATTAATTGTCATGGATTTAACTATAGTTTATTTAAATGAAAAATAAAGTGATTACATTAAAAAAAAATTTTTTTTTTTGCCTTTTCTGATCTTAAGAACCCTACAGGAGCAAAAGCAGGAAGTGGTGCTAACACAACTGCCATCCCCGAATCTGTATCTGCAGGGGTCAGTGTGTGATCTTACTGATGAATGCCAACTTACATCTGTGTTGGAAGTTAGATTAGACTAACATTTCTCTATTTCTCTCTCCAAATGGTTCAATTTCCATATACGGCTAGCAGGGAACTTCAGCAATCAGCGTTCTGGCCATTCTGGCAGTGTTCGGGTTTGTGGCCAGTTTTGAGATGGGACCGGGACCAATCCCATGGTTCATAGTGACTGAGTTATTCGCTCAAGGTCCACGCCCGGCAGCCATCGCTGTGGCGAGATGCTGCAACTGGACCGCCAGCTTTCTTGTCGGACTGCTTTTCCCAAAACTATTGGTGAGAACCTTGTCAATGAATTCATCAGTATCACATTTGTCAAGGATACAAGAACTAAACACATTATATTGTGATCTTGCTTACTTTTCAGGACCTGTGTCAAGCATACGTCTTTATCATATTCCTCGTCCTCCTTATCATCTTCTTCATGTTTACCTACTTCCGCGTTCCCGAGACCAAAGGCCGAACGTTTGAGGACATTGCCAGTGGGTTTTCCAATGCCGCAGGCTCCAATGCTGCCACCTACACGTCCCCAGAGGGTGCCATCGCAATGCCAGTATCCCCATCATCAGAGAAGTTTCAGATGACTGAAATGGCTTGTCAGGAAACAAGCTGAGCAAACCTATAGAAAAAACCCTGTAACCCACACAAGATTGACACCTTAAATGAACAGATGCAGCTAAATAATGGGCATTATTATAAAGAAATAGCTTGGCACATTTATCAAGTAGATCAGTGAGATCAAGCACATCAGTGTTTTCACAAATAAATCACAATTTTACACTGCAAGTGTAACAGATAGCAGCTGTTAATATAAACACATTTCTGTGGTCAAATCACTGCTTTTTATTATTATTATTATTGAGGTAGCTTCAAAACCATGAAAGGGTTTAAAAATGTCTGAAAAGTTTGTAAACCACTGACATAGAGGTACTAAACAGTGTTATGGCACTGATTTGCAGTTATAAAGTCATTATGAGCAAACAAGTGTTTATTACATGTGGTTGCAGATGTGTATGTTTAGTTAGATGTATTTTTTAAATAACTGATGTGTGAGATTTCTACTGAGCACTATGCACTTGTACATAATCATGTGGAATATCAAACTGATTACTATGACTTATTTAAATAGTTGGTTAGCAAATTTCCCATATTGCCCTAAGACTTGTATGAAGTTTTGTGTATTTTTCCGACTTTGGAGCCCCCTGCAGTTAAATGAGTGAAATTCACTATGGTAATTGAAGTGGATAGTTGTACACATGCATTTGTTGCTCTTGTAAAGCAGTCTGGCCTTTTTGCGGTATTTCGTACCTTACTTCTGGAACAGATATTTGGTAGGAAGTGTGGTGAATAAAAAGAAGCCTTATGAGAAGTCAGTGTACCATCAGAATGATTTTGAAACTGATATTTCAAGGTAAAAAATAATTACATGCAGTTGCTTTAAAGCAGATTGAATTCTCGCTAACCAGACTCGCTGAATGCTTTTAAAACTGCTGCCTGACTCCTGTTTGCTGTTATGGCTATTCAGGCCATAAGCATCTGGCGTTTTTGTCATTTTAATGTTTAAATTAGGTTTTAAATCCTAGATTTTTAGTATGTTTTTGGGGGTCCCGTACAGGTCCAGTTATTTCAGCATGTGTTGCTGTTTATGTATATGATACTGGTTGTAAAAGTCCTGCTGAAGGTATGAATTATCAGTGTTTAAATGGTGTTCATCACTTAAGTATTTCTCGTGATGATTGTCACTGAACATGACTGAATGAACTGATACAGGATCATATGAAAGTTAATCATGACATCCACTCAAAACAAGCACACAGTTTAATAGCCCTATTTGAGGTTTTTAATATGCTTTTGGTTTTTGGGGTAGTTTGGACTGTACACTGTAAAAGTTTTGCTTTACTGTGTATATATATTTTTGTTTGTTTACATTTATTACTGTATTTTGCTGCACTAGTCTGACTGGATGATTGAGATGCTTTTTGGAGTTTTATCAAGTACGCACCAATGATGTTTTCCTTTTTTATTTTTTTGTGAATGTGTATTTTATATATATCTATATATGTTGTTATATTTATAGCTTTTATCGTTTTATTTCCAATTTCTTATGTTTGTACTTTTTTTAATTATTATTGTTTTTTCTTTAAACACAAAGTCCTAAATGTGTATGCAATGCCATAAGCACTTGAAAGCATATTTATTTTGTGAGATTGACAAGATTAAAACATTCCCATTGCACATGATTTGATCTGACATGTGTTTGTGACTGTTCGCATCACAAGAATTCTGTATATATTTGTGTGCATACATATGTGTCATGACAGGTCTGTTCCTTCCCATGACATGTTGCATCATATCATAAAAGTCATATACCCAAATATATTTATTTACTTGTAAGCCACAATAATGGGATATAGTTTACTGTAATCTAATAATAGCGTTTGGTTTATATTCCACTGTGATTTACTTATGCACTTGAATTAATTGTTTTTTTTTTATATTTTGTTTTTTTCTCACTGCTGATATATTGTACATTTCCAGTATGACATAAGATTATTTATTTTATTTTGGTCCAAATTCACTAAATCCAATTCACTACTTCACCTGCTAATCCAGTCTGGTAAATGAATTGATCTTCCTGTCTTTGAACTCGCCTCGAGCTTTGGCTTGACCACCATTAGGACTACGGAATTTGATCAAATATAGGTAAAACAAGTAAAAACAGATTAAAAAAGAAGTAAATTATAGTAAAGGAGGAGATAGCGTCGAAGAGTGTCAGTGGAAGAATTGTCAGAGATGTAGACGGCGTCTTTTACGCTTGTTTGATGATTGACAGGTTAGAGTGATCAGGCTCCTCACAAACAAATGTATAACTACTGAAACAACAGGATATCAAGTCTCTTTACTGCTGTCTTCAAGTCACTCCATCAGGAGGCGCTGTTTTCAAAGAGATAATTGTACAAAACTGTTGTCTTCAGGAGTACAGCAGCCTCTAAATGAATGTCTATATTGAATAATATCTCTCTCTCTCTCTCTCTCTCTCTGTGTGTGTGTGTGTGTGTGTGTGTGTGTGTGTGTGTGTGTGTGTGTGTGTGTGTGTGTGTGTGTGTGTGTGTGTGTGTAAAATGAGAGATGACTAAGCCCAGAAGGAAATATTCCAAATATGTTTTTATTTTCCAGGAAAAAAGAAGCAATTGAAAGAAGAGAGGAAAAGAAAACACACAGGCAGTTTTCCAAGCTCCTTTTACTGAATGATGCATATTTCCAATCTGGCTCTCTGTGCCCTATCAGCATGCCAAACCAGAGCCTTCACCAAATGTGACTGTGAGAGCGTCTGTCTCCTGCGTGTCTAGACACTTTTTCTGCGAACAAGCCGAACTTGTTTTAGGCTTTCCATCACGGTGAGTGGCTAAAGTCAGTTTACCGGTCCCTTCATCTCTCTCTCTCTCTCTCTCTCGCTCTCTCTCTCTCAGTTTATCTGTCCCTTCATGTCTCTCTCTCTCTCTCTCTCTCTCGCTCTCTCTGTCTCCTCATTCTTTGCTCAGTGACTTCTCAGTCATAATCATCATCATACATAAATACTCCTCCCTGCTCCTCCACCCCCTCTCTTTCTCTCCTCTCTTTAATCTGAGATAAAAACGAGCAGACAGACTCCTCCTCCCTTCTCTCTGCCTCTCTCTCTCTCTTTCTCTCTCTCTCCTCCTGTGTCCCTCTCCCGTGTTCTTCCTCTCTGGACTTCTCCTGTGTGTTGCTCTGATGGAAATGTGGAGGATCTTTCTGTCTGTCTCTCTTGTGGTCCAGCACAGTTCAGCTGAAGAAGGTATGAAACTTCCCTTGCTCCCCCTGTTGCTCTCAGCTGTCCCGTTTTGAGGGGTTATCGGGGTCTCTTGCTGTCCGGTCCGGTTTGGAGTGTGTGTCAACATGTGTAGGAGTCTCTGAATGAGTTTGTAGGTCTGTTTGCGGTTATAACAGTTCACTTTCATTTACATCTGCATGTGTTTGTGTCAGTCTGAGGCTGATGATCTGAGTGGACTCTTGTACTGTATATTGAGTGGCTGTTTATGAGTTGTTACTGTGAATTGAAGAGCTCTCTGTGGACCCTGCCAAGCTGCGTTTATGCTTAACAAAAGGGTGCAGAATAGAGCCAGCGGAGGGGTGAATAATTTGTGTAACCTTTGTCTCTCTCAGACCCATGCAACCCCCCCCCCCCCTTCCCAACTCTCTGCCCCCTTTTTTTCTGATATTATAACTATTATAATGGCCTTCCTCCTCCCCACAGACCATTCAGCCCTCTGACAATACAGACACCCCACTCACTTCACTGTACATCTCTGTGTCCTTTCATCTGCACTTTTTCTTTCTGTCGGTCTCATTTCTCTATTGGCTAAATGGTGTTTTCAGTCAGTGCATTGCAGACATGAGCAGTTTAAATAGATGGATTGATGAAGTTGGCATCTCATAGTGAGCTCTTGTGAAAAAGCTCTCAGTGACTCATTTTGTGTGTGTGTGTGTGTGTGTGTGTGTGAGGTATCTGAATGCCAGAGTCTGTTAAGAACATGTTGTCTCACAGAAGCTTGTATGTGCTACTGTTTTTTTCAAATTTATCTGAATCGGTTATTGTGCTTTGCATTTTTCACACAAAGCACATGTTTATGCGCATGAATGGTAAACAGTGTATGTAACTATTTGCAATTTAAAAAGTGGATCAAATCTGATCTAAAAATAAGGGCCACTGCTAATATTCACAAGGTCCTGGGATGATGTTTTTATGGATGAGCCATTTTACTTCAAGGCTACTTCAGTCAGGTTGATTCTATCATATTAAATACAATTTTCGCTTGCATAATGACTGTTACCAATTGTTGTTAACAATTCAATTGAAATTTCAAAGAACGTTTCAAAGAAGAGAACATTTTTAAAGCATGATTACTATTCGTACAATATTGCCAATGCATCACACGCAACAAAAGCAGTGACAAAAAAAGAAATACTACAGCTACTTATAATAATAATAGTTTTAATAATTTTTAATTTTAAAATTAAAATAAGGTGCCAATAAATAGGCATACATCAATATATTCAGCAAAGATCCATTAAATTGATAAAAAGTGTTAGTAAGGACTTTTACATTGTTGGCAAAATGCTAAAAAAATGTCTATTTAAAATAAATGCTGTTCTTTTAAACTTTCTGTTCATCAAAAAATCCTAAAAAAAAGTTTCCACAAAAATCTTAAGCATCACAACTGTTTTCACTGTTGATAATAATAAGTAGTGTTTCTTAAGCAGCAAATCAGCATATTAGAATCATTTCTGAAGGATCAATTCAGCTTTAGGATCATGAAAATTCAGCTTTACCATCACAGAAATAAATTAATTAATGTTTTAAATTAATATTAAAATAAAAAACTATTTATTGAAAATTGGTTATTTTAAATTGTAATAAATATGTCTGTTTTTACAGACTTGTTGAATAAATTAATGTAGCATTGTTGACCAAGATATTTCTTTCAGAAATGCATTAAAAAAATCTTACTGACCCCAAATGGTTCTGTAAATACAATAAACAAACAGGCATCAATCAATCAGTCAATAGATATTCAACAAAACGTGACAACATTTTTAGAGTGTGAAATCCCAGTGTTTTTTTTTGGAGTAATCAGTGTCTTGCATATCTTAGAGAGCTTGCCCATACACAGAACAGCTAGTTCTTTTAAGACATAGAAATAGATATTTAAAAAAAAGACAAGGACCAGTCCAAGTGTTTTGTGTCCATATTGCAATAATACTATATTAACCACTGCGACACATCAGTCCCATAAGACAGACTC